ATGGATACTTCCTACATGACAAGCCCTCCCCCTCTTCTCAAATTGTTCTTATTCTCTGCCTCCCCACCCCAGCTCCATTCCTTGCTACTTGCTGACAGCAGTATGCACAATGTGCCTCTGGTGGCACCGGGCCAGGATTCCTCACCCATGGGGGCTTCCCTGGGTAGGCACTGGGTCAAAGAGGAAGCAGGACTCTAGCAACTTCTGGACTGGGAGAGATCAGCAGATTAGCCCCAGAAAGGGGCAGTCCCCACCCAGGGTGAACTATCCCAGGTTCTCCTCCCAAGCCGGTGCCTCCCTGGTGGGCTCCTCTCTCTGAGGCCCTCAAACATCTCTGCCCCTCCCTTTTCCTTTCTGTGTGAGGAAAAGTCCATTAATTCAGGTGTGGGCAGGGCAGGCATTTTCCAGGGTCTATTGTGAGCTAAGTGTCCCTTAATGGGCCACTCAACTTCACTATTGACTTGTCTCTGGCCTTCATGTGTTGGCTAAACACCTTCTGGGCATAACTACAGGAGCGCAAACAAACATATAGTACAAATCTGAAAATGAGGCATTTGTTTTCTTTGCTGCTCCAGTGTGAGGCCCCCCCCCCCACTCCCACAGCACCCTTTGTTTCATGGTCAATCTGCCCCTGGCTAGTACAAAGCTTTTGGAGATGTAAAGAACTGTATTAAGTGCCAAGCTTACATCCATTATGTTTGCTGTGAAAAAAAGCTTGTCTTAGCCACCTGTCTTCCAGGATGTCTCTCATGGTTTGCAGAGTATCTACTAGTGAAGGTGAACTTCAACCTTTTAGAGTGCTGGGTGAAAAGCAGCTTGGAATGGTAAGCAAAGAAACCGGCTATTCTTGTTTGATTCCTAGAGTGTTCAGGAAAACAAGATGGCAAAACATTCCTTGTAAATAAGCAAGATTGCATCAAAGAAATATCTGACCCCATTCCTGGTGTCTCCTTTTAATGGAAACAACTGGCAAGACAATGATTATAGACTAACCCCCTCAAGTTGAGGGAAACATCAATACTTCCAAATGCATTTGAAGTTAGAAGGCATTCAGAATATATTTAGAAGCTTTAGGGCAGTGGTCCCCAACGTTTTGGGGCTGCCGGGCGCCTGGGGGCGGGGCCGCTCACGCGCTGCACGTACGGGGGCGGGGCCACTCACGGGCCTTGGGGCGGGGCCAGGCATGCGCCGCGACCCTGGGCAGGGGCCGTGCAGGCATACCCCGGGCAGGGGCCACCCATGCGCCCAGGGCTGGCACCTGCTGACCGCCTGGGGCCAGGGCCAGCCCAGATTGCTCCGCGGGCGCACATAAATGGCCCGGCGGGTGCCATGGCGCCCACGGGCACCGCGTTGGGGACCACTGGATTAGGAGTTCGGAACGGAGATTTAAGTGATATTAAGAGAAAAAGATACATTTATCCGGCACACGCGGTGCACCCGGGGCCAGGGCCAGCCATGCGCCCGGGGCTGGCACCTGCCGCACGCCTGGGGGCGGGGCCAGCCCAGATTGCTCCACGGGCGTACGTAAAGGGCTCGGCAGGCGCCATGGCACCCACGGGCACCGGGTTGGGGACCACGGTTTTAAGGTGTAGCCGAGTTAGTCTGTACAAGATAAACTTAAAAAAAATAGTCTGGTAGCACTTTAAAGACTAACAAAACATGTAGATGGCATTATGAGCTTTGGTGGGCACAGCCCACTTCTTCAGATGACTAGCGTTATGATAGTCTTTAAAATGCTACCACCCTATTCATTGTTTTGTTTAGTATGTATTTAGACAACAGTGGTATTGTAGGCAAAGCAGTGGTTGTCCTTACACATAGGCTAACCTATTTAATTATTGGCTGAGTTTAATTATTCGGGTTTTGCATGCATGATATCTAACTTAGAACTAGACTCCTGAGTTTCTTTCAGAAATATTGCAACATCAAATGTAATTAACATTATTATAGATAAGGCTACTATCATTCACTGCCTTTTGTTACACTTCCAATGGTAAGAGATGGTTTTCAATTGCTTGTAACTTTGCCAAATTTTCGCTATTTGGCCTGAAATTTTCCGTAGCAGGCATCTGCTTTGGATAGCATTTTTTGGGGGGAAAAATTCTCATCTCAAGTGCTGGTCCCTATGTGTATTCCACACATGCACTTCACCAGTTGGAGACTGGAGATTAGTAGCACATTGTGGCCACTGGTTCTTGCTGGTGCAGTTGTGCTATACGATCCTCCCAGGACATAAACATCAGCTTGCCTCTCCAGTTCCTCCAGTGTTATCACTGTGATATTGATTGGGAGTCTAACAGCTCCTACTGGAGCAGGGCATTTACTCAGATTTGGGTGAGCCCTGAGCAAGTATACCATTTAAGAGGCAGTATGACCTCTTCATGAATATTGCAAGGAAAACCTTGGTTATGTTTTAGCTAAATTGAGGTGAGAATAGTGTAGCAAAAGCATCAAGTACATAATCAGTTGGAGATTAGAGAACCAGGTGGTAAATTCATTGGATTTTTTTCAAGATAATCCTAAATCATGTCGTTTTGCCAGGTTTACCCAGTTCCTAATCTCACTCTGTAAGTGGGGGTGGGGGTGGGGGTGGGGTGAGGAGGGAGAGAAAACATGCAGCTATAACTGTTTAACAACCTGTTTAAACATTTAGAAGATAAATCCCATCAGAGCATTGCTCTTTACGCAGGAGAGATCTTCTTAAGCTGTCACTCAGAGCTACTTAACCGTTAATACCCCTTACTAGATCAGAATTCTTCTATCCATTGGAAAAAGCCTGTCAGATCTAAAACAAAAGTTATTTACAGCACAGCTTATCACAACCTTGCTCTTATTCACACACATTTTTCTTGTAATTAAATTGTTACACCTCTGCGGAAAAAGGCACTTCAGTTGCTCATTCAGTATGGTTTGATGTTTTTATATGCCCCCAAAGCTTTAGGAGTTGAACATCAACACCTGAAATTTATCCTATCAATTTTCCCACTTGCTACAAGGCTGAGGGAATGGACCTTGTATTTGCTAACAAGCAGCTTACAGTTACATTCACTGTAAGTCTTTTTCTCCCTTTCCTGCCCTCCTTTGTCTTAAGATTGTAAACTTTACATGGTTGGATCCTCTATCTTTATATACTCTGCAAAAGCACTCTGAAGTACACTTTAGATAGATACTATAGAAATTTAAAAGTTTGCTATTTTGAAAAAATTTTGGCCTTAGAAACTGAGGTAAATAGGAGCAGTTGGGTGCTAGTATTTTTGAAATTAAACAAGTGCCCGAATTTAGGCTTGCTTTTAATATTCAAGAACAACTGTGTCCCCCATGTAACAGAACTCAAGATAAACACTTTCTTCTAGACTATTGTTGCAATGAGAAGATATTTCCTCAAATTTAGGAATCACAAAAGACACCTCCTCCAAAAGCAAGGGTGGGCAATAATTTTTGGCTGGGGGCCACTTTAAAATTTTGAAGTGGCCCCAGGCTGCCCCAGAGTTAAGTTCCTTCATGTTCAACTCAAGTAAAAATTAACTATGATTTTTATGAATATGAAAAACAGTGGTTAAAATACTGTAGTTTTATGCCCTCAGGAGCTAGACAATGTAAGATGGCTTATTGTTGTTGTTAATACTAATCTTAAAAGTTTAGTATGGAGTATTTTATAGACATGGATACTAATTCGCGATACAAAGACCAGAATCCCCTCTGGTGCAAGAGTTCAGAGGAAAGCTTACATTATGGAATTCCTTCCCCACAACCACAGAATAGACAGAAAAGGTATCAACTGAGCATCAGACACTGAAATGAATTGTTTAGTCTTTGCGCTCAGTTTATCTACACACACACACATACCACTTTCTCTAACGTTCAGGCATACATTACACGAGAGAGACACAAACATATAAATGTATACATTTATATTTATATACATATATATGAATATGCATGTGCACATCTCCACAGTGCTTGGACAAATGCAAACATATCCGAGTCAAGCATGTTCTGTTATAACCCAGGTAGCAGAGCCCTGTGGATTAGGACAGTTTATAATTTTGAATCTCAGAACCAGACTGTACAAAATGAACTGTATGTGCTGTAGGTGAGCTGTAAGATTTGAATGTACAGGAGATAAATAATCCAACAACCAAGCATTACACTGACTCACTGCACATTGAGCTTTTAATGTTGAAGGAGAAAACTTTAAAACAGTTGAACACTGAATAGTTATAAATTACAAAATTGCAAACTCTTTGGGAGCCAGGACTGTGACTTTTTGTGTCTTCAGACAGTGCCTAACAGTATCACATTTGGGGAGCAACCACAAGTTAATTCTAAAGGAAAAACTAAAACACATAGATGTTAAACAATTTAATCAAAATCAAACCAATAAAGGTCACAACCGGGATTAAAACTTCGGTCTATTGATTCTCACCTCTGTGCTCAGAACACTAGAATGGTGCTTTCTCTAAACAGTCACAATTCCAGGGACACCTTTCCACTTTGTATCTTATGTGGGAAAAAATGAGAAAAAACCCCATCAAGCCACTACCATATTCTCTTTCAAAATATCAGTTGACAGTTCCTAGCCAGGTGTTAGGTCAAACTGTACAAATCATGCTTATATTATTGTTACCATGTCTTTCCTTCTGGACCTCACCTGTTTTATCTCCGCTGCCTGCCGCATCCTATCATTAACCAACATTGTAAGTTTTTGGGGGTATGGTCTTTGATTAGGGTTCCTCAGTGCCAGTGCCAATATAAATATATCCCTTTTCAAGTATAGCCATTTAAAACATCTGCTTTCCAAAGTATCTAACAGCAATATAATCTTAAAGCCTCAGAGGTAAGGCCTAAAAGTAACAGAATAGTCTTAAGTAAAGCCACGTTAAGGAATATGTTTTAATATCTCGTTTCTTGATGCATTATTTTCCCATAGATTGTAGATAATTTGTTTCTGTTCCATAGTACACACCAAAAATGAGACAAGATCCAACAGCAGGTATTTCATATAAAAAGTGTTTATTGGAGGGGGAGGGAAGGAGGTAGAGAGGGAAACAGACTAGATTTAAAAAAAAAAAAAAGTCTTCTTGGGTACTTTTGAACACTATTTTCCTAGATGTAACATCATTCATTCTCTCAGGAGTCCTTTAACAAAAACATTTGAAAATAAAATATTTAACCTAAACACAACCATTTTATAACAGAAATCTGAATAAGATGTAAAATCCACCCAATAGTAATAAACTGGTACATGAAAATAAAAAAAAATAAAAAACCCTACCTCTATGTACAAATGAGGAGAAAATGTAAAAAGAAGCAGTGATGTTTTTACATGTATTGCCAAAACTTTTAAAAACTGAAGCTTTAAAACAAAATATTGGCTAGGCATGTTGGCATAACCAAACTGCACAAATCACAGCTAAAGACATCTGAATTCACTCGCCTTTTCAAGTCCCAGACCTAGGCTAATGTAGTTATATATTTTTTCCTGTAGATTCATGAACTGACATTGTAGAATACTTTCAAGTAAGTTCACTTTGACAATACTAAGTTTTTAATGCATACAGATTTCCAAAATGTTTTTAATTTCAGCAAAAGGCATTTTTTCCAAAAAGTGTTTTCCCAAATTCGTTTTATTTAATGAAAAAGCTGCCTTTGCCAAAACAATTTGCATATTTTATTATATTTAAAAGCCTGATTAAGGGCAAAACATGCATTAAGTTTTTCTGCTAAAATTACAGAAACATAATTGCAGAATGCGATTATATTCAAAGGGTCATGTCCATAATAAAAATCTTCAGCTTAAAAGAAGCTTGGAACTTTAAGAGTTTTAGTATCGGAAAAAGGCAAATATTCTATGTATTATTTTTAAAATTCTGACATTGCACTGCTGTGGTTAAAGCAAGAAATAGCTCAACAGAAGATTATAGGAAAGCCTTTGTCTTCTCAGGAGGTCTATGCTTGGTTATACAATACTGTCTTGGAAACAGTGCTTCATCAGAGGTCTGGCAGTTGGCTTCTGTTTAAAACATATTTTGCCTCATAGCATTCATCAAAGGCTTAAAACATAATTGAATCTGGCAGTACACATGGACAGCATGATGTTCAGGGGGTTGCCAGTAGACGTGGGGTCCTTATATAAAGAACTGTTTTCTTTGTTTAAAAAGGAAAATGAGTGGGAGGTGGGGAGAAAGAACATGGAAAAAGAAACCGACTCAGAACCATAAAACACTTTTCTGAATCAGATTCAGTTCACAGCTACTGAATATAGAAATAGAATGTTTCAAATTTAGATTGTGACAGCTTCTGAACTGCTAGACAATTCATGCTTTCCTATTTTCATAGAAAAAGATAGAGGCTTTAATTATATATATCTTTCTAAATGCTCCGTGAACGCTTTGGGTTGAGTTCTAGAAGTGCTCACTTCAGTCCGAAAGTGATGGAGAGCGAACTGATCGCCCGCTGGCTGGGCTGTTGGAGAAAGTGAAGGGCTCCTTATCTTTTTCTTTGTTGTCATGTTTATGTTTATGCTTATGTTTATGTTTATGCTTTTTCTTCTTTTTCTTGTGCTCGTGGTGGTGGTGGTGATGATGATCACTGTGTTTTGAGGAATTTGATTCTTTACTAAAGGTGGAGAGTGGAGCTGCTGGCACTGGAAGCATGTTCAGCTCTAGTGAAGACTGTTCTTTACCTAAAACAGAGATACAATTGGAATTTCAATTTTTCCACTGCAATAAATTATTAACTCACAATGTTAAACAAAGCTGTTGCTGGAATATAAGTCAGTATTTACACTATCATGTCTCCCATCATATTTAGTATTCTAATACAGATTCTGTTGGTATGCTGGTACCATTATCTTCTGGTATTCCCAGACAAGCATCTAAGCACACTGACCATTTCCATACTGTAGACTTAATTCTTAGCCCCGTAGGTGGGATAGGCTACTCCCTGCTTTAAAATGGTATAAATGTATCCCAGATGATCAGTGACAATACATTTAAGAAACTAAAAACAATTCTAATTTCAAGACATCAATATTCCATCATCGAAGTTCAAAAACCTAATAAACTGTATGCAGTGGTTAAATCTTATGTTGCTGCTGCTTCTGCACAAAAATGAATTTTTACGCTTAAGAGAGGAAATAAGCCAATTTTTAAAAATAAGTTATTTTTAACAAAAGCATTTATTTTCTCTTCTGAATTTTACAGACATTCAAAGCTTGTCATTTTAAATAAACAGAAATCCCAAATGAGGACAATTATAGTAATAGGATAACAATATTCTTTACACATCAGGATTTCACGTATTGAAGCAATACAGGAATGTTACCTCCAAGTAAATACAGGCAGATTTAATTGACACAGCAAGTCTGTTCTATAGTCTGAATTTTTCCTTCCTGTTATATGTAGTATTTTACAGAATTGCAGAAAGATTGTCTTTCCAGTGCACCGTGATTTGGTGTCTACCCTTGCACTGGCAAAACTCAGTATAACTGCCTCTGTTTTGGTAATCCAAATAACTTAGAAATTAAAAAAAAAAAAAAGGAACCAACTTTGCATTCTCCTTCAATATGACTGACAATCATAGAGAAAGGCTTTAGAAAGCTCAATTTATTTAGTGTATCTACAAAAAAATTAAGAGGTAATTTGATCACTACTTAGAAGTGCTTACATGAGAGAAGATTTCAGAAAATACACTGATCTTTAATCAAGCAGGAAAAAACATAAGGTCTAATGTCTGGAAACTGAAGCTTAAATTCACCATAGATATACAGGGCAAACTCTTAACAATTAGGATAGGTAATTAAGCACTGCGACACTTTATCAAGGGTTATGATTTGATTCTCCATTACCTGAAGACTGGATAGATATGGGCCTGATTTGGTGAAATAAAATGCTTATGTTATGCAAGAGGTCAGACCAGATGATCACAGTTTTCCCTCTGGGCTTAAATGCTATGAATCTATGAACATTTTACAAAATTTAATCCTGAACTCAGCAGAATGATATATGCCTTACTATATTTATGTAAACATCATCATCCCAATTCAAAGTGGCTTTAATTTCTGATACTGTATTAGTCTTCAGGTTGGACCTTTAAAAACCGGACTTCTCCCATCGATTAACACCCCCGGTTCAACATCCATGGGTCTTCTGGGGCTAGAGCACTCAGAGGGAAGAGCTGGGGGCCTCATGCTCAACTCCTTTTTCCCTCACCCTCCCAGAGCTTCTGGAGAGCTACAAATAGCAGTGTTCAAGCTCAGCGAGGGTGGGAGAGGAACAGGGATTGGTGGGGCGGAGTTCGGGGGAAGAGGCAGAGTGGCACTGACAGAGCGGGGACAGGAGTGCAGCCTGGTGGCAGCAGGGCTCTACTCCTGGCCACTGACCCTGGGGGCTCCGCAGCTGCCCTGCCTCTTCTCCCAAGTGCCACCTTCTGTCCCCACCCTGTCAGTGCCTTCCCCTTTGCTGCCACCGGAGTTGTACCCCACAGCTGGTGGCCATAGAGGAGCCGGCACTGACTTCCCCAGTCTGGCAAATTCCCCTGGTTTGGGGCTAGTCAGGTCCCGAGGGTGCGAGATCAGGGAGGTACAATCTGTATTATAGTAAATGCATGACATGCACATTGCACTTGTTAACCAGTTTAACCAGTTAACCAGACTTTAATGCATATTAGTCACATCACTTATCACTCTACCCAGGGCAGGTCTAATCCAACTCTGTAGGCCACTGCCCAGTTTACCTCAAAAAGTTAAGAGACTATTTCATGACTATACTTGAAGCGGTTCTTTCTTTTCAGTAATTTTAAGTTGCCAAAAAATTCCCCCCCCCCCCCGCCCCACTGAACCTACTGAACTAAACTCATTCCTTTAACTCCTACTTTGAAGCTGAAAGCATGCTGAAATACCCATTATGGTGAACCTATAAATCTTAGCACAATGAAAAATAAACATGTCTGCTCAAGATACTAGACTATAGTAGAATATAGCTGAAACTAGGGATCTAAAATCCCATTTAACAAGAGCCAAGCAAGAGTAGCTCCTGTCTGCAGTGGGCCCCCTACAGGGTTGGAGCAGCCCCCTGCCCGCAGCAGGCAGGGAGCTGCTCCATCCCCCACTAGTTAAACTTAACCAGTAAGTCTAACCTGTTAAGAGTGAGACTTACCAATTAACTGGTTAAACCAGGGGTGGGGAACCTAAGGCTTGGGGGCTGGATGCAGTCCTCAGCTTGCCTGGATCAAGCCCCTGAGGCTCAGGGCTCCCCCTCAGCATTGGGGAGCCTGCACTAACACTCCAGCCCCTCTAAGGCTCCCAGCGGGGCTGGAGCATACAGTCTACTCGCCTGGACTCCACTAGGGTCTGGTATGCGAGGGGAATGTGGGGAGTGTTTTTCTCCTCAGTCATGCGCCAAATCAGTGAGAATTTTTTTTCTCATCATTTGTGTGCAGCCCTCAACTTGATTTTTCTGTGGGACACAGGCCCCCCCAACCCAAAAAAGATTCCCCACTTCTTGGGTTAAACATTCACATCCCTACTAAACATTCACATCCCTACTAGACACCTCCATTTTATGAACACCAATGTTCCGTACAATCATTTAAAAAAACATTTTTCCCAAACAGCAGGCACTGAGAGAATCACATAACAGTAACATTCCTTCACATGCTGATGCATTGGAAATTATCTTGCAGTGGCTTGAATGACAAAAAGAAAGTGATGCATCATACTGCCACCTATGCATCATACTTACTGTCATTTTAAGATATTCAATTGTATAAAGTTTTTGATTTTATGAATTTCTCAGTCCCAATGAGTTCATGAAATATGGATAAAGAAGGCTTTACTGCAGGTAAGGTAAATAAAAGCATACACATACTTTACGTGCACACAATATTATATACACATGTTTTATTTGCATGTTACATTGGCCAAATATACTGTGTGTGTTAAAGGTTATTTAAATAAAGAATTCTATTACTATGAGTCGCAGTAAAATAAAGAGTAGTGATAGACTCTGACTAACTTTAGAGGAGAGAGATTTTCAGATCCATTGTTTTGTTTCTGGCTCACCTCTAATAATACATGTCACATTTCAGAAGGCTAGGTTACACCAGCATTACAGATGCCAAAGCATATTTCTGAATCTTCCAACTGTGGAAGGGGAGGGGAACAGAGCAAGTACTGGAGGTAGTAGGTTAATACTGATAACCAAATGGTAAATGTTCCTGAATGATAGGTCAGAGTTCCCCTATGAGAGAAGTATGAAAGAGTAGCTGAAAGGTGCAGCATATTTTTTCTTCCAAGTTTGTTTTTAGTGTAAAACAGTAGGTCTCTAGCTCCTATGATTGCAAAGAAAGCTTTCATAACGTGAATCCAGTAAAATCAATGCAAAAACAAATGTCTGAGTTTGCAGACAGCCCATTGATTCTTCACTGCTCTTCAGAGCATGGACAAAAAAGTATACTTCGGCATTTCCCAAAGTATCGGTTGTGTTGCCTAGGGGCAGAGGAAGAATAACAGACTAGCCAAGGAAGTACAGAAAACGTGTACATGTTAAGACGTGTATGCCCTAAACCTTAATACCACTTTGTATGGAACAATAGGCTTAATATTCCAGAGAGGGAGGCTCATTTTTCAAAAGTCTAGGAAACACTATGACAAAATGATATTCATTAAACTGATCACTGAACTATCCAACTAAATGTTAGACTTAAAAATCAATAACATCACTAATTTCTTCCTTCTGCAGCTGACTCCCAAACTTATATATTCATGGTTTTATATACCAACAACTTAAGGGAATTCCAGTGATGATCACAATGAAATCAGCAAAAACAATGAGGAATAGTATTACTAAAGAAATAAGCACAGACAGCAGCAACACTTTACATACAAATGAGGAAATCAAGGGTGATTAGACTAGCTCAAATCCTTTCATACACTTTTCTTTAAAATAGAGCCAGCTTGTGCCACAATCCTTGAATCTAACAACATTCACTTCCTTCACACAGCTTCATTGCCAACAGCTGTTTTTCAAAAATTCCAACAGCACCAACTCCCCAAAAGACGTGATATTTGATACTCTCAATGAATGCTTTGAAGTCAACATAAGCATCATAAATGTGTCAGAAGAAGCCTGCACCCGTGCTTGAAGTAAGACATCTATAAATTGGACCTTTGTAAGGGATTAGAAGGACTATATCCACCTCCTTTAGGCATTGATCCTCCCTAGACAGAAACCAGTATTGCACAACCAGTTCACCTTTTTTCCCCAGGAGTCCCTTTGATTAACATATACTGAATGCCTATGTCAGGGTCCTGCCAGTCCAGGTAAGAAGAGCTAAAAAAAAAAAGTATTTCTAAGGCCATCAATTTCACTTCTATATAGGCCAAAGGGGAATTGCTGCAAGAGATCAATGCAATTTCTTTTCTCATGGAATAAGAGTCTGAACCTGTGTTTCTGACATAACAGCAAGAAAACCAATAACAAAGAGCTCACGAAATCACTTTTGAAGTGATTACTAGAATTCTTTCAAACAGAATATACAAATTCAGAATACACTTGGGATCTTCCTTTGTTCTGGATGTGCACATGCCAACATAATTCTCAGCTTTTCTCTGCTCCAACTAGTTGGGTAGGTATGCAGAATTAATGAAACTGCCATTATTAGAGGAGTTTGGAGACACCAATA